GTCGTCTCCTACTAATATATATAGTACGTATATATATATATATATATATATATATTAGAGCTAGACTATACTAGAATACTTATACTATCGAAAGAGCTAGACTCTATTAGAAGAGTTTAAGAGATATACTATAAGAAATATAATTTATCTTATAAGATAACTAATATTCTTACGTTTATTCTATATCTATAGCTTTTTCGATATAAAATAGCTATAAATGATTCTCTTATACTATAAACGTTATAGAGTATAGCAATATACTAGAAATAAAGTAATATTGTATAATAAAAGTCCCTATTGTATTACTATTTACTATTACTATTACTATTTCCGTTACTATTACTACTTCCTAGAAGGTCGATAGTAATAGTAATAGTAATAGTAAATAGTAAAGGTATAATAGTAATTACTATTACTATATAGTAATTACTATTTACTAATTACTAAGGTTTGGACATCTCTGCCCATGGGCCATGATGATTGGGACCATTAGAGGAACCTAGCCATGTAGCTGGTATGCCTTGGCACAGCCATTCATGGCCAGGCGCAAATAGATGCAGCCTTTGAACATGTGTTTCGGGTGGGGAGAGGGAGAGGGAGAGGGAGAGATAGAGAGATAGAGAGGAATGCGATGATAAGGTACCGTCGCCGATGACTGCTTTGTCCCGCCGATCGCGAAGCCCAGAGTTGCGGAGTGCCGTCGTGTTACCACTCATTGGGGCCAATCTGTATATCCTTGTCCTGCTGCTGCTAGCATATCAACTAGCAAACGGTCCTTGTGTGTGTGCGTGAGTGTGTTCTAGACCTCACATCCTGGGTCGTAGGACGAGAAAAAGTGCTACCTCTCCATGTACCTCCTACCTCCTAGTTGCGGCTTTTCCAAGGTACTTGCAAGATGGAAGAATGCACTCTCGGTATGCGTGCGAATAGAGAGTGAGAGAGAGCGAGAGAGAGCGAGAGAGAATATGTCTGCTACATCTCAGGCCTCTGCGATGAGTGGATGCCTTAGGCATAAGGGTCTTGCTCTGATGCCTTGGAGAGTACATGTACCGATGTCGCCACTACACCGCTTCGGCGCTTCTGAGCCCAGATAGACGGAGCCGGGAGAAGCTAATATGAGAGATTTATATTAATTTGTGGCCTGCCTCCACAGTCGAATGGGTGTTGCGAGTGGTGGCAACAACCAGTCGTTCGTCCAGGCCACGATAAGGCGGAGCTACCGTACCGTACCGTGCTATTTTATTAATTGCATGAAAAGAATATGCATAATGCAGCTCACCGACATATCATCTCACCCGCGTGAGCGCCTGCCCTTGCCCGTACCTGCGTCCCGTGCCTTGCTTGACGTGGCGAGGTCAGCCATTGTCCAGTGAGAACGCAGGTCCGCGAAATGGGTGGGTAGAACCTGGTACACGTACACCACGGAACATGCAAATTTCATGTCAAAATTGCCGGGGGATGTAATAGGTACCGAACATACGTGTTCAGTGCAGTCAGCAACGGGACAAAAAAAAACCAAACCAATAATGCGAGCAAGTGTGTGTGATGCAGGCGGCTGAATACATCACAGGTCGGCAGGTTACCTACATACCGTAGGTACATAGGTGTACCTACGTAGGCATCAATCGTGGTGGCGGTTGTCCAGCTGCCAATGACACGTCTGGTTTGCCACGAAATCCCGGCCGGGGAGCAGGCTCCTAAGCACCAGCAGGAATTGATGACACTACTTGACAGAAGTTGACAGGACGTGGCAGCGGAAGTGGTTGTTGAGGCATGCATGTACACGCATGGATGAGCTTGTCGCTTGCTCGGAGGAAATCTCATCATCGGATGCAATACAATACATGTATGTACCTACAGGTACCTATAGTATACAGCGTAAGCACGCGGAACCAGCAGATCTGTCGCTTCGTTTAGATCCCTCCCGATGAGGGAGTCCGAAAGAGTGCGCCAGGATAGATAGATTGTCCATGGCTCCATGGACCGTCGCACCGATCGTAGCGGAAGGATAAAAATGCATGGTCAGATGGGGGGAAGGGAGGGGGGCGATACGATAGCTACGGTACCGCGCTCGTAGCACAGCAGCAGGCCGCGACGACCAGCATGGTGCAGCAGTGGCGGAGAGGAAGCAGTATGCATGGATGGCATGCATGCACGCATGGATGGCGTCAAGAGTGCCGACATGAGAGAGAGGCAGTGGAGGCGCACTAGGTACAGGTCTGTAGAGGTAGCTATCTACTGCAATAACTGTACATACATGTATACTCCTAGGTTCGCTGCTCGCTACAAACGGTACATACAGGCGGGTAGTGCTAGGAGGGGATGGGGATGTAGGAGGCAAGGTACTATACCTAGGTAGTTAGGGGAAGTGTGGAAAGGGAGGGCATCCATCCACCCATCCGTAGGAAGTAGTAACTAGTGCATCATACACGGCCGTCAGCTGGACAACAGAGCGACTCACCGCGTGACGGGTGGGCACTGGCTCGGGATGGCAGTAGGCTGGTAGCGTCAGCGTGAGCGTAAAGGCCTTGCAGCGCCAGTAACAAATGGGAAAGCAGCCAGCGAGCAAGAGGGCCGGAAGTGGGCTAGCACAGGCTAGCAGATCGCAAAAAGAGGCCCCTAGTCGCACATCGTCTGGGCCTAGACTGAGAGTCTAAGAGTCTAAAGAGCCAGAGCCAGAGAGCTAGAGCCTGTGGTGCACTGGTGCTCATGCGGCTGCGGATGCGGATGCGGGTAGGGAGGGAGTTGAAGGAGGGAGGTTACTGGAGGCTGCCTGCTCTCTGCGCTGCTGCTTTACGCTGCTCTGCTGTCTGCCAATGTCTGCTGTGCTTGATGAGCCTGTGAGCCTGGTAGGAGGTAAGCCTGTGAGCCTGTCTGCTGGTGCTGCTACTAGGAGGTACTGCTGCCACTGCTGCTGCTGCACTGCGCCGCGCCGTCTGTAGTCTGCGCATATGCGGTCTGTAGTCGGTCTGTTGGTCGTGTGGTCTGGTGGTCGGTGGTGGTGGTGGTGGTCTGTGGTTTGCTGCCGCCGCCGCGGTCTATTGCGGTCTGCCGTCTGCTCGCTGCTACCAGTAGTGAGTGTGACCAGTGACCAGTAACCACCGCCGGCTGCTGGCTGCTGGCTGCTGGCTACTGCTGCTGCTGCATCTTGTTCTCGAATCTACCGTACCGTACCGCACCTACGTCTCTCTGCTCTCTGCTCTCCCTCTCCCTCTCCCTCTCCCTCTTCTCTCTCTTTCTCTCCCCCTCCCTCGCTCCCTCTGACCGATCTTCCTCCTTCTTCCACCAGCACCACCACTACTACTACCTTACTATTCATCATGCTGTGGTCCAAGTATCGCCCGCCAGACTGAAGTAACTGGTCTTTTTTCCGTTGCTTGCGCTTCCTAACACTACAGTCGGTCGCTACCCGCTCTGCGCTGCTCTGCTCTGCACTGCACTGCTCTGCACTGCTCTGCTCTGCTCTCCTCTGCTTTGCTGTCTTGGTGGATCAATCTCTTGGTGCACGCACGCACCTACCCACCCATCCACACGCCCGCCCGCACGCACGCACGTTGGGAGGCGGCGGACTGCTGTTGGTCGCGGCCTTGGTACATTACTCGGTGGAGAGGTGTTGCGCTGCTGCCGCTGCTGCTACTACCGCTGCTGCTGCGTGTTTCATACATACTGCCTGCCTGTCTGCCTGCCTGCCTGTCTATTTGCCTAAGGTACCTAGAAACTCAGCTCCTCTACCCGCCTGGCCCAGCGACCTGGTGAGGCGCCCGGCATAGCGTCGACGACTGCTGCCCTGCCCTGCCTGCCCTGCTGCCCACCTTTCCCGCACCATGGCCGAAACGGAGATGGCGAATGCGAATCGCTCTCAGACGGCGTGGGTGTCGAATCCTACCGCCAGCAGGATTCTGAACTACCTGCAGATCGCCTACCCCATCGTCCTCCTGGTCCTCTACCTCACCACCTTTACCGTGCGCAGCGTCGTTACCGCCCGCAGCGATCATGATACGCACCAGCAGCCCGAACAGCTGGGGCCGGGGGGCAAGCCACTGCCTAAGAAGAAGCATACTACACCCAAGAAAGAGTCGGAAATCACGCCAGACCTGGACTTTGCGCGCCCCCGCAAGCTGCTCTTCGAGTGGCTGTCGGTGGGCGTGGTCCTCTCGCTGAGCGCCAATATACTCGTAGTCGTCGTGCACGCCATATCGGCACGCCACGAGGGCTGGTGGTGCGGTCAAGCACCGACGGTATGTCTCTGTGTGGGAGCTTCGAGGCGGCCGCCATTGCACGGCCGCAATGGCAGCAACATATGCTGACGCAACAGATAGATCTACTTGGTGGGCTCCTTCATGGTCTACATACTACTCATCATCCACATGATCGAATCGAAGCCCTCGCCCACCCTGGCGCACTTTGCGACATGGGTTACCGCAATCCTCATGGAGACCATTCTGCTGGGAGCCTCGTTCGCCGTGTACACCTCTGAGCACCGCGAGCCAAAAGCTGGACATCCTCGTGGGGGGGAGCTGCGGAGGGACATGTCGGAGTGGGAGATTACCGAGGTGACGATCGACATTATCCGCATTTTCATCCTGCTCGCGCTAGCCGCCTTCTATACGCTGTTCGTCTTTCTCCACGACCTGGTCGTCCATAAGCGGTCACCATCACCACCACACGCCGCCTCCGAGGGCGACGAGACCACGGCCCTACTGTCGAATGGTCACGCAGACGAGACCGGCGGCAATCATCATCATGGCGCGGCCAACGGCACCACGCATGCGGCCTACGGCGCCACCAATGGCAAAGCGCACGGACCTGCTGGTGCCAGCAACGGACAGGGCCGTCGCCGCCACGAGGAAGTGCCCGCGGGATGGGAGAAGCCCAAGCAGACGCCCTCCCGGAGCTGGTGGGAGTACATTCGAGCATATGCCGTCTTCCTGCCCTACATCTGGCCCTCCAAGGAACCCAAGTTGCAGCTCAACTTTGTCATTTGCTTCGTCATCGTCTTCATCCAGCGTGGCATCCAGATCTTGGTCCCTATCCAGCTGGGAGAGATTACCAGGATCCTTGCGGAAGGCGATGTCTACATGCCCTGGATTGCCATCAGCCTGTATATCGTCTACCGTCTGTTCCAAGGCTCCAATGGGCTGCTGGGCGCTGCCCGACAAGTGCTATGGATACCCATTGAACAATACTCCTACCGGGAGTTGTCGGTGGCCGCATTTGAGCACGTCCACGAGCTGAGCCTAGACTTTCATCTGGGGAAAAAGACGGGCGAGGTATTGTCTGCGCTGGGCAAAGGCGCATCACTCAATACATTCCTGGAGTCGGTCACGTTCAACGTGCTTCCCATGCTCATTGATCTGGGCGCTGCGTTTGTCGTCTTTCTCGTCGAGTTCGATGCCTACTATGCATTGGTGATCGTCGTCGTCACCTTCTGGTACATCTACATCACGATCCGCATGGCGGCTTGGCGCGCCGAGATCCGTCGAGAGGCCACCAATGCGAGCAGAGAGGAAGATGCGGTCAAGAACGACTCCATGATGTCCTACGAGACGGTAAAGTACTTTAACGCAGAGGCATACGAGTTCAATCGCTATCGTGAGGCGGTCAAGAAGTACCAAAAGGCCGAGTACCAGGTCACGTTCTCGTTGGCCCTTATGAACACGATTCAGAATCTGGTCTTTATGTTTGGCCTCATTATTGCCAGTCTCCTCGCGGCCTACCAAGTCACCACGGGCCTGCTCGGCGTAGGCAAGTTTGTGCTGCTCGTCACCTACATGACGCAACTGCAGGGCCCACTGAACTTCTTCGGCACCTTCTACCGCATGATCCAGAACAACATGATCAACTCGGAACGGATGCTCGAGCTGTTCAAAGAGAAGCCCACCGTAGTCGACAGCCCGGACGCTCAGACCCTGCCGTCGTGCGAAGGTGAGATTCGGTACAATCAGGTGCAATTCTCGTACGACAATCGGAAACCCGCATTACAAGGTCTCGACTTTACCTGCCCGCCGGGCACGACGACTGCACTCGTGGGAGAGTCAGGGGGTGGAAAGTCGACTGTATTCCGGTTACTATTCCGATTCTACAACACACAGGAGGGGGTCATCCAGATTGATGGCCACGACGTGGAGAATGTCACCATTGACAGCTTGCGGCAGCACATTGGTGTGGTACCCCAGGACACGGTGCTGTTCAATGAGACACTCATGTACAATTTGAAGTACGCCCGGCAAGATGCGACAGATGAAGATGTGTTTGCAGCGTGCAAGGCTGCCAGTATACACGACAAGATCATGGGATTTCCAGATCAGTATGATACCAAAGTGGGCGAGCGCGGTCTGAGACTCTCGGGAGGCGAGAAGCAACGTGTCGCCATTGCTCGTACCATCATCAAGAATCCGCGCATCATCCTGCTCGATGAGGCCACTGCTGCGCTGGATACCGAGACGGAAGAACACATCCAAGAAGCACTGAAGACACTCGCGCACGGTCGGACGATGCTGGTGATTGCTCACCGACTGAGCACCATCACCATGTGCGACCAAATCCTAGTCCTGCATCAGGGCAAGGTGGCGGAACGTGGCACACACACGGAACTGCTGGGACAGAGGGGCAAATATGCCAGCATGTGGAGGAAGCAAGTACGGGCACAGCGAGCGGCAGAAGAGGCCAAAGTGCTGAAAGAGAAGGCCGACAGGCTCCGGCGGGAGAGCATGGATAGCAGCGCGGTTCGTACTCGGCAGAGCAAGGATGAAGATACGCCCCCCAGCAGTGACGAGGATGAGCACGCACGCAATAAGCAACCGGCAGAATACGGTGGTGGTGGAGGTAGTGGTAGTAGTGAGCTGCAGAGTGCACTCTCCTTGTCGCCGAAATCGGCCATTCCGCATGCTCACATCTCTTCGGTGCTGGGGGGAGGTCGGGGAGATACAGGCACGGATACGCGACCGCAGCTCGAGGCATTGAGGAGCGGTACCGTACGGTCACCCTCGCCGGTGGTGGAAGAAGAAGGACCTACTCGAAAGCCAGCAGCAGCAGCAGCAGCAGCACCGCCACGACCAGCAGGACATCCTTAGTCAGGACTGATGGAGATGGAAACTTTTACAAGGGGTCTGGTGGCGGAGCAGCGAGTGTATGGATGGCTGCGTGATGTTTACATTGATGCAGAAGGACGGGAAGCAGAGAGAAGAAGGATCAGAAAAGGCTGCTGACTGAGCAAGCGCGTGATGATGATAGATGAGAAGAAAGTGCGCCTCCAAAGTTTCAGGCTTGGTAAAGGACGGGCATTGCAAAAGCATCAACTTAATTGGCGTTTTCTCTCTCTCTCTCTCTTCGTTTCTCTTTCTCTTTCTCTTTTTCTTTTTCTTTTTCTTTTCCTCTCTCTCTCTCTCTCTCTCTCTCTCTCTCTCTCTCTCTCTCTCTCTCTCTCTCTCTCTCTCTCTCTCTCTCTCTCTCTCTCTCTCTCTCTCTC